CAGGATCCCAGCACGGTCTACCATCTGTCTTCATCCATACACCCGTTTCCTTCTCCTTTCTGGCGATGCTGAGTCCACTGCAACCGGGCAAACTGGTGTTAGGATTTTCCTTAGTTCCAGAGCCGAAGCCGCCCTTCTTGAATGGATTCTTACCGATATTCGGCTCTGTGCTATGCGGCTCCAAGGCTCGTCCAGAGTTAACAAGCGTCGAGAATACAGTCGCACTCCTTTTGTTATTTCCGCCTATACGCCCACTGATTGTAGCCCGGATACAGTCAAAGACCTATCCGAACCTTCGTGACCTGCTTCTAAGGGCCCCCAAAAACGGACATCATTGTTGTGGCGGGGGATTTCAACTCGCGTATTGGTCGCTTACTGCCAAGCGAACGCCATATCGGTGGTCCGCATGGATACGATGACATTCGCTTGGATAATGGGGAAAAACTGTTCAGCCTATGCTTCGACCACCAGCTTTCCCTATCCCAGCTGAACTTCCGCCACCCGTGACGCCACTACGCTACCTGGCGTACTTTATCAACTTCGCAGCCTTAGTTGCAGGACGACCACATCGCTATAAGTCACCGTTGTCGTGGCAGTGTTCACATCTGCCGATCCATTGTTCTTTTACGTCGAATCTGATTATGCGCTGGCCCGTGCGACGTTTTGCATGCGCTTGGGTGGCTCGCCTAGGATTAAAAGAACTCGTCTAAACATTGGCAAATTAGAAGTCGCCGCTGCTGAAGTGGTATATCAACGGTTGCCCAGGCTGAGGATGTTGATTTACATTGACTACGATTGCAACAGGTCGTGTTTTCTGCGGGTCTGTCCACCTGTGGTCTTGTTCTTTCAACAGCTAACATTTGGATTTTATCGACATCGTCGAAATTGCCTGACCGTCAGCAGTCTGTTCCCGTCAGTATGGATCACATTGAACTCCGATGAACCATTTCTCGACAATTAAAAGCAATTCTTCGCAGCGATCGTGAATCTTAGTGATACGATTAAGCCACAAAAATAGAAGCTGCTGCCGCTGCTGGAAACACCGGCAGCTTATTCTATCTCCTCAGATCCACTGAATGCAAATCATATGCTTTCAATGAGACAATCTACATGTTAGACGGTACGAGGATAACTAATCTATGCAAGCGTGTAGATTACTGCGCAGAGCATACTACTTCTTAATCTAATTATTAAACTCAACCACCAGTGACATCCCCTTTGGTATCATGTGATGGATGGCCTGTGTGCACAAATCCTCCACCGAGGCTGAGATTCGGAGAGAAATCCAGACTCTGAAATAATACAAAGCCCAGGCTCTGACAGTCTCCGGCCCTATTCAAATATAGAGGGATTACAGTTGTTAGCAAACTGCTCTCGCTTTTCACGTAGATGTGGGTCGATGAGAAGATTTCTAACTTTCGGGGCGAATTATCGTGATCTTAATGTCATCATCATCAACCTCTGTACATCAGCCATTTGAACTGATGCTTCGCTGCTTTACAACCATTACGACCTACGGAACGAAGAACTATGAGAGGGAGGAAAGGGGGAATTAACGGAACACCTTAATGTCCTAAGCAAACATTCAAGGTCAAGGCGCTTACATGTTATCAACAACATGTCGTCACAAACAGTTGGCTATTGTGCAAAGATAAGACGGCATCCGCGAGACAGTTTCCTTGCGGCTTTCACTGCCCCGCGTCACAATCAGCCATTATCCCGCAGATATCTCAGCACCAAACACACTTTAAACAGGCAATCCGATTAGGAGACGGCAGCAGACGCGCCACTGGTGTCTACTGTGAGCCATGTCCTGTGAAGTCTCGAGCCAAGCACAAGGTGAGTCACGTGGACACCAGTCCGGAAAACGAGACGAACTGACGGCACCGAGTTTGGTCGTCAGTGACTTCATTTCCCGCTGCCGAATCTACTTCTGTCCACCTCGAGCCTTGCGCTACCCTACATCTGGCAGACAAAACAAGGTCCTCTTCGGTAAGCTGTGACTGGGTATACGTAATACCTGCTGAGGCCAACGCAACTTATTCAGTGCTACCTTTGTTCTAAGGAACTATCTTGGCTATCTACAAGAAAAGCTCCCGCAGAGATTGCACAAGTTACCGATGAATATTACTCATATCGGTCGCGTCAAAGGTTTTTATGTCTATATTGCTCCGCAGGTTTTCAGCTACTCGATGGAGTTTGTATCACGAGGAACAAGTTGATTTTCGCACCGATCGAGGTTGGATCGATGAGATCTTTACACTGCGTCAAATCTTTGTGCATCGTCACGTCCACCGAAAACCAACAATAGTGAAGTTTTCGGACATCCGTGCTTTTGATTCCATCGATAGTCTATCTCTTTGGAACTGTCTGCTAAGGAGCGTTGTACCCGACAAATTTGTCGCAATCCTGAAAGTAAGATCTCGAAAGATATCCTGAAAGATATCTTTCATCACACATCGGGCAAAGTTATAGCTTGTGGAAGAATTTCTTCGTCTTTTGCTGTTACCAACGAAGTACGCAAAGGTTGTCCTATCTTACCGTTCTTATTCAACTTTATCATCAAGGATGTTCTCCACCGCGCACTGGAAGGGGCCGAGAGCCGCGACGTTGAGATCCTCCCCGGGGACAGTTTTGGACCTGGATTATGCTGATAACACCGCTTTGCTGGGGGACGATCCGCTGTATATCCAACACTTTTTGAATAGCCTAGCGATTGAGGCATCTAAATATGGTTTGTATTTTCCCCATCTAAGTGTAAAACCCTGCTCCAAGATTGACTAGTGCCTGTGCCTACACTCACAATTGCAGGTGCTTTCCTGGAGCAAGTGAATCGTTCCATTTCTCTCGGGATTGTATCATGACGGGTGACGGTGTTGGAGATGAAGTATCGCAACGAATCGCTAAATCCCGCCTGGCGTTTGCTAACCTGAGACACTTGTGGCGCTTCCGCGACTTCAGTCTAAGGCTCAAAGGCAGAGTGTACAATGTCACTGTCCGTGCGGCCCTGCTGTACAACTGCAAGACCTGGCCTTTTCGCGCAGGAGATATAATACGACTATCATGTTTCGACAATCGCTCATGTGTGGTGGTAACACTATGTAAGCAACTCGGAAGTTGGAAGTCGAGTACTCGGAACGAACAATGATAGCCTCCATGACTTTATTCTCGAACACGGTTTACTTTGGCTCGGTCACGTATTGCGCATGCCAGTCAATTGACTTCGTCGCGAAGCGTTATTTACAATTTCTGGGCGTAAATAGAGAAAATGTCGAGGCGGACGACCTATCACAAGGAAAAGGGTCGTTAGGGTTGTCACCTCATGTTTGGCACCTCGGGATCTGTTTGTCTTCTGTTTCTGGGTGCCTCGTGATGGGAACGCCAAATAGTTGAAAGTTTTCATGGCTATTGCCCGCAATCGAAACCAATGGCGCCAGCGCTGTTCTTACATCTCATTTTCATCTAACTGTCAAATGGAATACAAGAAATCAAAACGGCGTGTGTGAACCAATAAAAGGCAGTTTCCCCATGTTTGTTGAACAAATCCTTCTATATTCCATTACAACCGTGGTTTTGATTCTTAGGCTTGTACATATATATATATATATATATATATATATATATATATATATATGTAATGAGAGTTGAACGAGCAGTAGGTAACTGAGTATGCTGCATTTGCCACCTCAGCAGAGCTGCTAAATGTCAGTCGGTTGCTTCAGCGGTGCACATAAATAGCTGTTAAGACTATCATTAAGTTCCCTTTTAGAATTTTTGAAGGTTCCAATTCGCTGTTCCTGGTGTATTGGTCCCCCTCCTCAGTTATAGCTTGTTCGGCTGTGAAATGAAATGTCTAACGCTGAAGTAATTATATTTGCTTCAAGATATATTGCGTCCGCAATTGAGTGTTTTTTTTACTTATGGCCTCTGTTCACCTGTCTTGAAAGCAGCATGTGACGCTGTGTGCAACTATGTATGTGGAAACCCAAAGAAGATCTGTGTGGCACAGTGCATCAAATATGAGAACGCGTTCGAACGACGTATGCAGGACAATAGTATTCAGCTATTAATGCCTTAGAGGCTACATTTTTATTGTAGCACTAATTCGCTGGCTCCCTTTGAGTCGATATACAGTTGTCTCCGTTTGGCCATCCTAATTCGTCGCTACAATTGACGCAGCATGCAGTCACTTGATCACATAGCCACATGCGAACCATGTCTCACCGCGCATCAGCGGAGTAGCATCCAGCTGTGTTCTTCCTGGCCCACGCGCGCGCTTTATCCCGAAAATTAATTTTTTTTTGAAGCTTTTCCCTCTGAACCACGGTATATAAAACTTTCAGGTGCAGCGGCACATATATTATAACACTCCCCCGGACTACTCAATCCCAAGGGCAATCCCGCTGTCTGCAAGTCAGTCTATCTGTGTCGAGGCGCCAATCTACTCCCATTTGACGGTCTGGAGTACTTTAGGTGTTTAGGGTGTGTGCACCAGTCATTGGCATACTGTCTATTGGGTTGCGGTCTGGTTGGATGATATTCGTTCAGGTGTCGATGTAGAACGGCACATCATTGTATCCTCTCTGACAAAGGTCCAAAGAGTGGTAAGCAAATAGTCGTGTGAAAACACGCTGTGCATCGTTTATGTGGGTACACATTCTGTGTTTCCGAAACGTTGCAATTCTCATGGGCCGCTGACTATGTGATGGCTTTTCTAAACGAATTGCTTGGCGCCGCCGCTGACATTTTCTTACTGTTGTTTAGCCTTAATGTTAATGCTCATAAGTATTACATCTACAAAGAACTCCCCAACACTTGCTCTCGCGTGCACATTCATTTATCTGTTATTTTCGCTATTTCAAATTAGCCAGCCATCTTAGCTCAGTCTGTGGCGACCGAGTGTACTCTTGAATTGTTAGAGCTCTTTTGTTTGACATTCTGCATCCGTTAACTGCTCGTTTCACTGCGTCTAGTTCTTCCTTTTTTGAACTCACCTTCAGTTACGTGAAGCTCAGACACAGCTGGAAGACTACAAGGCGGAGAACGCCCGGCTCCTACGCAAGCTGGACAAGTTGAGCCGTTCTTCAGTTGCCCCGACCAGTTGATTGACGTCTGGCTCCGGCTCCATTCTGCACCTTTCAAGAAAACTGTTGCATTGTTATCGATGTTTGCAGCTTCGATACATCCGCTCAACTCAAGCGCACATCACATTCAACCAGCTGATGACTGCATGCATACGTCTCTGCCCGGTCGTTACACAGCGCACACCTCGCCCCTAGTTAATGTGCTCTACACCATTGTGTATTGAGCGCTTTAACCGATATTGATCCCCCTATGACCGTTCCAAACTTTTCGGGACCGCTAGCCATCACATTTTCGGATTGATTTACCCCATATTGACATTTCTTTGTAATTTATGTTCAGGATCATTTTCTTTTGCAGACAAACCGACAAGGTTGTCACCCCGCTTATTTCGTCGACGTCTACTCTTCTGAATCATGTACCCACTGTCACGACCACTCAGATCCTATGGTTTCACTTGTCCTTGTGCTTATTGTGGGGTCATGCCCTCTTCTGTTGCGAGTCCATCATCGGTTATCTCCCACGCCTCAGTTCCTTGCCAGTGCGTTGCATTTGTCAGTCGACTCACTCTTTCTCTGATGTATTCCAGCCCATCTTGTCCCAAACGATACACACTTTGTACAGACACCAAAGCAGCAGCCGAATCGGATTTGTCTCATATGGCCTTTCACCCCTCTTTGCGAACCAACGAAGCGTTCATCTTGCTCACATGCGTCTCAGTTGCTTTTGTTTTCTTTGCACTTTGTTAAATCCTGTCTACCAGCACCATTAACAGGGGCGCACTGGGCTTTCAGATACTAACCAATAGACTGTAGTGTGCTCCTCCCTTGGTGTCGACGTCTGTCGTGACATAAGTTCCACAGTTATCTTCTATCCGGTCGACCACCACAGCTAACCGCTCTTTTGCCACTACCGCGTGCCTCATTTATACTTCACCCAACATTCACACCTGGACCCCGTGCGTAATTCCATTTCGCGATTGGATACAATTCTTTGGCATCCTGCGTACGTCAGCTGTCACCTCGACTGCCAGTCTTCGCTTTTCATCTGACGCAAACACCAGCGAACGCATTGCACAGTATTCTGTGTTCCTTATGCCTTCTTCGCTGTGTTTGTAAGCGTGTGTTGTTTGTAGTCGCAAATGGAAAGTGAGGAATATCGTTTGAGAGAAGAAATTCGAAGGAAATCGCCAACTACCCTAGTTCAATTCACGTATGTATAAATGGCACCGAGCCAACCACTTCTAGACAATATAGTTATTGAGGAACACATTTCTTTTAGACCCGCAGATCATCAAGGTTTACTATCAAAGGAAACCATATCGACAGATTGATGGTGTGGCGATGGGTAGCCCACTAGGCCTACTGTTGGAGACGTATGATTGGATGAAACAGCTAACATCATAAGATTGACGACTTTGTATGAGCGTTATGCTCATGATGTACTCTTAGTCATGGATTTGGATGTGGACATGGAGCATACGACCAAGTCTCTCAACAAAATGCAACCACACCGTACAGTGACGCGTGATAATGAGCGAGACAATTGTCTTCAATACTTAGAAACATAACTAAATATGTGTTCTCGAACGAACTGGGCATGCCATAATTTGGTATGCTTAGCAATTTAACAGATGAACAGCAGCGTAAATAAATACTTGTTGTGTGAATTTCAAGAACTACTTTCCAGTACCAGCTTGGTATGCTGTCACACATGTCAAGTGGTCAGCGCGAAAATAAAACCTCCGTTTTAGCTTCTTGGAAGATACTTGGAACCAGTCGAGTAGCCATGAGCACAGAGAAGTTTAGGAACAATTGGTTGTTATAGTTGTTTGGTAACGTTTCGCTTTTGAAACGAGAGCTTCATCAGACCATATTTGGATTGGCATTTTATAGCTAACAGGGACGATAACCGCGTTACCCGAGACTTAAACCAAGTTGTCATTACAGTCACAGCTCGTGATGTCCCTTCAGGTGGTTCAATCACAATGTGAATTGTCCTGGTGTCCCTTTGTGCGTCATGACATTGACGAATAAGCCCAAAATGATGACAGTAGGAGTAGATTTGCACTTTTCAATCTGACCCCCGCACCGATGCTCGTCAGGCTGGTCCGCTTAAGATCACTCGACACGCAGTAGAGTTCTACTCCCACCGATCTATTCACACAGCTGTCCAATTTAGTAATTACTAAAGCCTCGACAATCAACCGCTGGGGCTTTGATCGTATGCCCCTCCTAATGACCTCTACGTTTTCCAAGTCTATCTGGTGACCCGTGTCTGGTGCGTGCACAGCCACGGTCGAGTCTCTGACTATTGCCTGCTATTCATACCCTTTTCTTCTTGGTCTTGAAATGCACCTGTGCTCTGAAATTCGTGTGCGTAATTCTCTCACTGTTTGGCTTATGTAAAATGTGCACAGTCCTTGGTTGGCGGCATCCGGTTTCGGATTGGCCTGTCACTGTGGTCAGCCACAGGACGCCTAGGCCTACAGAGCGACCATGGATGGCTTGCGCTGCACTACCCACAGCTCCATCCACACACCCCATATCCAGTGTAAACCCGAAGGCATAAGACCGGGAGGGATGTGGATGGGAGCCACGTTTCATCAACGGAGCCGGCTCACAGGCAAACACAAGCACGCTGTATTTAGGGAATCAATCGCACGCAAGGCGGTGGCTGGACCGTAGTTCGCTCCACAATAACTGCATGGAACCACTCTTCGATCCTAGCACGACCACAAGGACCTTGCACCCCGTCCCCTCCAGCAGTCCTTACATTTACTTTTATAAACATAGTCTTCCTTTCCTTGTGGAGGGGATCCTTCAGGTGTACCAGCGCTTAACGTAGCGTTTGGCATCACTTGCAAATCACACTGTTTTTTCCTTTGTTTAGTACCCTCCGAAGTGCCTTGTACGGATTTTCTGCCGTCCCTATCCACTTCGTTGTGGGTCTTGATAGTCGGTTTAGTACTTTATGTAGCTGCCGTTTGACTAACCGCCGTGAGCAACCACTCTCCAATAGTTTGCCTATTGCCACTTTCTGCGCAGCCTTTTCCTCCTCCTACATTGTGCACAGAGTTTGTGTCCTGTAGAACAGTGCCGAGTTTATCCCGGCGTAAGCCTGTTTCGGATGACCCGAAGTGTAGTACAGTATACCTTCAGTATCTGGTGGCTTGCGATATATGGTCGTCTTTAAATTTCCCCTATTCCTGTGAACCAAGGAGTCAAGAAATGGTATTATACCACTACAAGATTCCAACTCAATATTAAAATGTATCCTCTCGTCAATGGAGTCCAACTAATCAAGCAGTTCGTTCATCTTATTCTGTTTAACAAGTGCAAAGGCGTCGTCTTCATAGCTCCACGAAGTTTTCGATGAACTACTGGTGTTTGCTAACGCCCTATTCTCGAAGTCTTCCATATACAGGTTCACCAGTACCTGGGATATTAGCGATCCCATGGCGAAGTAACAGATGTTAAGTCACACTGCCATACCATCGATTATCTGGTTAACCGTAAGTTTTGTTCGATCGCTCAGAGTGACGTCTTCATTTAGACCACGTTTTGCTATTCCTAGCGCTTCTCCTTTGGGTACCTTGTGAAAAGTGCCGTCACACCGAAGCTTATCACCAACTCATCTGGCTTGATTTCGAGACTTACTATCTTTTGGGCGAACTCATAAGAGTTTTTCGCGAACCTATTCGTTAGAGACTGCAAAAGCCTTGTCAAATATCTAGCGAGTTCATGGGTCGGGGAACCTATACTGTCGACTATGGGTCGTACGGGAACTTCGAATTTGTGAACTTTTGGCAAACCATAAACTCTCGGAGGTAAAGTCGATTTTGGCATAGACTGTATCACTTGTTTACTCCTAAATCGTCCTTCACGGTTCTTAAATAGTTGCCAACCTCCGTCTTACTCTTTTTCATAACTGACGTCACGGTCTTGTAAACGACTACTCTATGTGGACCCGTCTCCAAATGTTGCTCCATTTTTTCCAAATTTTCTGACCTATTCATTAAAACCAGTGTTTTCCCTTTGTCAGCCTTTGTGAGTACATTGCTGCGATCTTTCAAGGAGTTTCATGTCATGCGTTCAGTTGGCGGAAGCTTTGGCTTATCCGGTTGTTGAAACTGAATGATATTTACTAACTGTGCCCGAATATTATCTGTCTACGCAGATAGCAACTTTGTTTCCGCGCTCTCAACGCTTGGACAAAGCACTTCCGCATAAATCCTAGACGTTTTGATGGTAAAGATTAAACATTTCTCCAACAATCTATATTCCATTCCATTCAAAACCCTATTTAACATATTAACTACACTACCATCGCTAACATAAACCCGGGCCTGTCAGTAGGATCGATGGCATTAGGATACACAGGTACTAAATTTTACGACTGTCTTCTCTTTGAATCCTGCCCTTATTTCAGTTTGATGTCTGAACCCTTATTGAAAATTCGTTTGTAGTCGACAGGCGTTATGGTGGTCTGTAAATCCTGGCTCAGCCGATTCGCGTCCATGCGGATCTCGCTCAAACGTTTGGTCAATAGGTAAATCCACTGTCTCAAAAAGGCCTTGGAAGCATTAAATACTATTCTTGCAGAGGTGTACGTGTTATCCGGAGGTTTCACTGTGAGACATTTTGGAATCAGGTTACTCTTAAGACACTTCATGTAGAGAATGCGGTGATTCTCCAAGCTCGCTTCGAAGTCCGCCAATCGAACGAATTCATTTGACATTTTTCGAACGCGGTCCGTACTTGGTTTCAAATTCTTGGATGGTATTTGTAACTGATCAAGTAGTCATGAATTCAGAGATGTTTGGTAACATTCGGTTGGTATACTGGTTTGTTAACGTCTCGATCTTGACACAAGAGCTTCGTCAGACCAGGTGAATCAGTGTGCTGTTGAAGTGGCATTTTATAGCGAACAAGGACGATAACTGTTGTTCGACAAACATTCTGGTTTTGGGGAAAATGTCTAGGATTTTTTTGGAGAACTCTGAAGGGGCCGGTGAAAGGAGGCTGAAGAGGACGACGCACTGCGTCTGTGCGAACGAAAACGTTAGTGCAGGTAGAGAGTCCACCGTGCATTTGCACATCTCGAGGAGGTGTCGGGCGCAGCGAACGCATGCGTTGAGGAAAGGCGGCTACGAAGTTTGACGGTGGCATACACGATGGCTAGGGGAACGAAATGAACTCTCCTGGCAGTCTAAGCGTTGTGCCGTAGACCAGCTCTGTTTGTGCGCACTGCAGGTCAGCTTTGATGCTGCTGCGGATACGTGGGACTACTAACGGAACGTTTTCGCTCCAACCAGGGTCAGGTGGCACAGAGAGTTGAGTTAACCTGTCCATGGACGCGTTCAACTAGGCCATTCACCGCTGGGTGATATACCGTTGTGTGGATATGGCGGCAACCTAAGAAATTACAGAACGCATCGAATTGCGAAGATTCGTAAGATGTTCCACAGTCAGTAGTGATGGTAGATACGCATCAGTAGTGGGACATGCACCGGTCCAAGAAGGCACAAATGACTGTTTCGATCATGCAGTCTGATAAAGGGATTGCTTCTGGCCATCGATTGAAGCGATAGACAGATGTCAGTATCTATACGGGCCCGTGAGGGGTAGGCAAGGGTACTACCAAGTCTAAGTGTACGGGCGAGAACTGCGAATCCGGCACAAGGAATGAGCCGAGAGGAATGCGGGTGTGTCGGTGTACCTTGGAGCGTAGACAGTGGACACCAGCTAGAGCCCAGTTACAAATATGTTTGTTCACGCTTGGCCAAGCAAAACGCTCGGTGACAACTTTTAAAGATGCGCAGATACCAGTGGGAGATAGTGAGTGGAGTGTATCGAAGACTGTGCTTCTGAAAGAGATAGACATGATGGGTCTTGGACAACCAGTGGAAAGGTTGCAAAGTATGGTCCCGTCCATGATTTGGAGAGAAACTGGCTGCACATGCAGCTGAGTGAACTGCAGGGTGCCTTGGTGGTCTTTGCCTTGGACCTGGGTCGATGCCATGGGGGCAAACTCAACAGGAGGCCAAAAGTGAAGAACAAAGTTGGCGACTGAGACAGCGTCACATACGGGGTTGACGACACCTAAGACATGACGTATGTCACCAGTGAATTGCGTGACAAAGTCTAGGTGTCTAGTTTCCCGCGGTGAATATTTGTCATATGATGAGTCAAAGGCAAAAATGAGAGGTTTGTGATCAGTGTGGACCGTGAAAGCCCGGCCTTTATGGTATGTCGGAAGTAAC